TTCCTTTTGGCAATTCTTTAAGATAGGCAGCCCTGCTAATAATGAATTCTGTTCTTTTTTATTATTATTATTTTTATATCAGAGATTGTCTCCATTTCCTCTTTAAGAACTGAAGGATATTTTCACTGGATATAGGATTCTAGCTTGATAATTCTTTAACACTTGAAAAATGCTGTGCCACTTTCTTCTGGTCTTCAGAAGAAAGGTTTCTCATGAGAAATCTGCTGTTATGCTAATTGTTTTCTACCTGTTACCTTATCATTTCTGTCTTACCGCTTTCAAGATTTGTCTTTAGTTTTCAGAATTTGATCGCAAGGAGTCCTGGCAAGCATTTCTTTGTATTTATCATCGTTGGGATTTGCTCAGTTTACGTACAGAGACTTGTGTCTTTAGCCAAATTGGAGAAGGTTTTAGTCGTTATTTCACTGAGTATTTGTTTTACCCTGCCTTATTTTTTCTCTTCTTCTGGGACTCTGATGACATCCATATTTGATCTGCTGTTAAAGTCCCACAGGTCCCTGAGGCATTTTTTATTTGTTGATTTGTTTGGTCTATTTTTGCTCTGTTGTTCAGGCTAGGAAGTTTCTATTGTACTTTCTTACAGTTCATTGATTCTCTCTTCTGTCCTCTTCATTCTGTTGAACCAATTCACAGGGACTTTTTATTTAGATTACTGTATTTTTCACCTCTAAAATTTGAATTTTCTTTGTATCTTACATTTCTTTGTATCTTATCTTTCATTTCTTTTAAGTATGTTTAGAATTTCACATTGAAACATGTGTATAGTGAATGTTTTCGAGTCTTTATCAGATCATTCTAACTGGCTTCTATTTACCATTGTTTTCATTAATTTGAGATTTTTCTGTTTCTTGGTATGACGAGTACTTTTTTATTGAAATATGGATGGACATTGTGGTTATTATACAGGGGACTTTAAATAATTTATGGAAAAAATGGAATTAAAATATTTTCTTTTCGTGCATTCGAAATTTGAAATCCGTGTATAGTTTTCTCATAATATACATTTTTCACAGACTTTTTATTACCTTACATATTATGAGACTGTAGATCTCATTCAAACTTTGTCTTATAGCTGGCTTTCTCTGACACCATTACTATAGGGAAGGGGCCAGCAGATGGCATGTTAGTTAGGGGCACTGGACTCCCACATGGCCGACTGTGGTTCAAGTCCCAGTCCTGGTGTTTTGCTTTCTCCCTCTCTCTCTCTGCTCAAATTAAATGAAATAAATAAGTAAATGAATAGATAAATAAAGCTAAAGTAATTCTTTAAAAAAAAAAAATAGGGGGAGGGGAAGTGCTGCTTTGTTCCTGCTAAGTGGGGATAGAAGTTTAGAATCCCCACCTGTCACTCTCATGTCACTCAGCCCAAGAGGGAGACACTCCTTGTCACTACTAGTGAAGTGGCACCTAGATGGGCCTCCACTGACAGCTTGTTGGTTGGGAGGGCAAGGAGTGTTTCTTCCATTTGGCTTCCATTGATTAGGGGAAGGGGAAGTGCTGCTTTGTTCCTGCTAAGTGGGGATAGAAGTTTAGAATCCCCACCTGTCACTCTCATGTCACTCAGCCCAAGAGGGAGACACTCCTTGTCACTACTAGTGAAGTGGCACCTAGATGGGCCTCCACTGACAGCTTGTTGGTTGGGAGGGCAAGGAGTGTTTCTTCCATTTGGCTTCCATTGATATAGTAGAAATGGTTGGCCTTGTTATGCTGGGCATTGGCAAAGGTCCTGACTTGTCCTCTGGGCCTCCTGTGACAATGGCCCCGCAGAGAAGGGACAGCTGCTTCGTCATCAACAGGACAAGACAGAGGTCCAGGCTACCCATGTGATTCCATGTCATTGCCCCACAGTGATGGATGACCCAACCTCCCACGCAGCCCTCTCTGCCATGCCCATGCTGGTGGGTGTGAGGTCGAGGGTCTTCTTAAAACCGGCAAGGGTAGAATTTAGACACCCTACTCAGCTTGGGCTGGTGAGGGCAGAGTAGGACAAGTGTTTTTTCCTGTGGCATTTGGCTGCAGGTAATGGTTATGGTCTAAACTTTTCTGTCTTGCTAGACAGCCCTTTATTTGGTCCTTTGACTATAGAGACCAGGCTTGTGTTATAGATTGCTTGTCTGTGCTTGTTGGTGTTTTAAGTTGCCAGTTTCTTTCTTTCTTTAAAACTTATTTATTCTTGGGAACCAGCAGTTAGCATAATGGCTATGTCGCTGGACTCCCACATAGTCGACCGCGGTTCGTGTCCCGGACCCGGTGGCTTAAAACTCACGCCGGGCGTGTGTGCGTGCGTGCCCAAGATCCCGAGAGGAGAATGGA